GTCTCTTCTGTTGCTATCTTCTGGAGTACTGGCTATCCCTCCCAATTTGGTAACTTGCAAACTTGATGATTATGCCTTCTAACCCTTCATCTAAGCCATTAATAAAGATGTTGAACAGACCGAGCCCAGGACAGAACCCTGAGGCACTCCATTGTCACTTTTTCCAGGATGAAGAGGAATGCATTAGTGAGCACCTGTTGGGTTCGTTCACGCAACCAGTTACAGATCCACCTTCCCTAATTCTTTTCTAAGAATTTCAGAAACACTTCAGATTTTGTTTTTCTGAAATGAATTGCGATCTTTTCCCATCATCTCCCGGTATTCCAGAGGGAGTCCTTGTGCTTCGAATTTAAATTCTTCAGAAGAGGTTGTGTACATTTACCTGCTGATCAAATGAAAAATAAATAGTGTGTCCTCCAAAATGCCCCTTGAAAGCATCACATGATAGAAAGATGGCGAATAAATGTTTTAACATGTTTATATGAGTGAGGAACGGGGAGAGGTTCAACTCGTATGATGTTAATTTATTTGTTAAAGCTGTTATTTCCAGGGCTGTTTAGGACTTAAGATAAACTGATTCTAATGAGAGACTGTGAAAATTCAGAGAGGTGAGAACTGTTCAACTGGTAGTGCTTTTCGAAACCTACGCATTGATGCTATGAAAAAACTTTGAGGGAAGAGTTGTGAACTATGCCAGCACATTACCGCACTAAGATTTAAGCCTTCCAGCATGCTATGACAAGGCTCTTTGAAAAGATACACAAGAGGATTTGCGGAAGTTGGCTCTGCTCCTGATTGCGTCAACAGAGAGGCACAGAACAGCATGCTCACAAAGTTCTCTCTTTAGTCTGGCCTCATTCTATAACCTGCTTTCTGGTCTCCTTTGTGCAGACTGCCCTTCACAATCAGAAGATACACTGGGGACTTTTCCATTCCTCTTTTAAACTCCTTCCTTCTCCAAGCCTTGCTAAATATTTCCGCTCTTCCTTATCTCATAATAACTTTGGGTGTGCTGACACAGCTGGGAATAAAAGCCCAGAGCAAACACAAGCAATAGAATGTGAATAAAGAATGATTGGACAGAATTACCATGGTATTCCCCCTTTTCCAAGGCAAGAAAAAGTTCCTCACCTTTTGTATGTCATGCCAATTTTAAAACAGCAGAACTTTTGACTTATTCTAGAATCTCAGTGATCTATTGACTTAAGCCTTCAGCTTCAGCTCCTTTATGGTGATGCCAAAAAAATTTCACAAATAAATTATCCAAAATAGTAGAATTCCTGCAAATGTGCATATTTAATAGGGTATCAGTAATGATGGAAAAGCCATCTGAATGCCAGCCTTGTGAGTTACTCTAAAAAGAATAAATCAGACAAATGCTTAATTGCTCATTCCCTTTAGACAAACTCAAAATCAAAAGGGGTGTTCTAAGTTTTTCAGGCTGTATGGCCAAGTTCCAGAAGCATTCTTTCCTGATGTTTCGCCTGCATCTATGGCAGGCATTGTCAGAGGTTGTGAGGTCCTCACAACCTCTAAGGATGCTTGCCATAGGTGCAGGTGAAACGTCAGGAGAGAATGCTTCTAGAACATGGGCATGCAGTCCAAAAAAAAAACTTACAACCACCCAGTGATTCCGACCATGAAAGCCTTCAACAATAAATTGAAAATCAAAACTCTACAACTCTAAATAAGTCGTTTAAACTACTATTCGTTTCCTGGTTTTGCATGAAAACTGGCTTCAGGAGACATGTAAAACATTTTGAAAACAAAGAATGCCTGGAAGAAAACCATTTTGTAGTGTATGTAATATGGGCTCTACAAGCAAACTAGGGCTGGATAAGATACTGCATCAGATATGTATGCATAACAACAATGGATGGGTATGACTTGTCTCCTGATTTGATCCCCCAAACCCACCCTAAAATCCAGCAAGCTGCACTAGATGATGTTGTTCCCTAGGATGTTAAGATCATCCCCTTCCACCAGCAAGCAGAGGTAGACCAGAAGCAGATTTCTTGTTGCAACTTGTTGGTGCACCACCACTTGCTGGTATGATGGGTCTGGACATTACATACTTCAGTGTCTTGCTTGCCAGCACTGCAGAACTCCATTCCTTGGTGCAACTTTTCTGGATTCCAAGGAGAGGCTGGGGTCATTTATGAATGTTTCAATGATTATCACGATTGTAAATGTGCATAGGAAACAGTTACAAACGTGTAAGTCTAGCTTACAACATTACAATTAAGAGGATGTCAACCTGAGTGTGACATCAAATTGTATGAATGCAAATGGATATACCGGTTGGAGATTCTCTTTAAATACAAACAGCAGCATTGGGGAGGACATGTTTGTTGGTAGTCTCACTTACCTCCTCTGCCAGTTTATAACTAGGCAAGTAACAATGCCTGGTCAATTCATACAGGGAGCACACAACTCCCATGTCGCACCAGCTCTGCTGGTTGCCAGTTTGTCACTGAGCACAATTCAGAATGTTGGCTTTGGCCTATAAAGTCCTAAATGACTCCGGTGCAGTTTACCTGTATGATTGCATCTCCTTCTACGAACCACTGCAAAGACTAAGATCCTCCAGGGAGGCCCTGTTCTCGGTCCCACCACTGTCTCAGGCATGATTGGCGGGGATGAGAGACAGGGCCTTCTCAGTGGTGGCCCCTCGGCTATGGAACTCCCTCCCTGGGGAGATTAGATCATCCTCCTCCCTCCTGTCCTTCAGAAAGATGGTAAAAACTTGACTGTGGGACCAAGCCTTTGGGACAGTGCAATAAGCACAGTGCGGACTCCTCTCTTACAAATACACTTTTTCTATTTCCTATCTCACCCAGGGTTTTAATGTTTTTAACATTTTATCTTGCACATTTGGCCCGCCCTTTGTGTTTGATTTTATTATGTTACTTTGCACTGATAATTTGATTTGTTACATTATGTATTTTGTTGTGTTTAATTTTCTGCTGTTTTGTATCTTATTTTGTTGTATTATTTTTGGGCTTGGCCTCATGTTAGCCGCCCCAAGTCCCCTTTGGGGAGATGGTGGTGGGACATAAATAAAGATTATTATTATTATTATTATTATTATTATTATTATTATTATTAGGTAATAATCCGGTATGGTTGGTTTGAGATGGCTTTTAACAATTTCATTTTGAAGTGGATACAACTGATTTTAATGTTTGGGTATATTTATAGTTTGTTTTTATTCTGGCATTGAATGTATGCCGTATTTATCTTGTGCTCCGCCCTGAGTCCCCTTCGGGGTGAGAAAGGCGGAATATAAATGCTTTAAATAAATAATAAATAAATAATTCACGGAAGTATCTCGTTTGTAATCTGGCACAAAGTCAACTTTCTTTGGTTTACTTAAGTTGGGTTTTTCCAAATCCACACTCACAATGCAATGTTTTCTTTTGTGCATGTGATGGAATTTCCCAACAGTGCAAGGCACACGAGCAATTCAGAACAATCTGGACAAGGGTAAAGAAGATAGATAGATAGATAGATAGATAGATAGATAGATAGATAGATAGATAGATAGATAGATAGATAGATTCTGTTAAGGTCTCTATGTCCTTTGGGAGGGGGAGTTTTAATTCCTTGGTGCAGCAGTGATGTTGGGATCAAAACCAGAGTGGACAATTCTCTCATTCTACCACCTCCCTCTTCCACTCCATTGAGCAGACTAATTATAAAAATGGAATCAGAATTAGAAGAGACCACAAGGGCCATTCAGTCCAACTTCCTGCCAGGCAGGAACACTCAAAGTATCATTATAAATGGCCATCTGTTTAAAAACCTCCAAAGGGGATTCCACAACACTCTTACTGTCAGGATGTTCTTCTTAATATTCAGGGAAAATCTCTTTTCCTGTAACTGGAATCCATTGCTTCATGTCCTAATCTCTAGAGTACCAGAAAACAAGCCTACTTCATCTCCAATATGACATCATTTCAAACATTTAAATAACGGTGCTACTGCATTTTAATGATTTTATTATTATGTGATGTTATTGCACTCGTTGTCATTGCTACAATAATTTTATGTTATTTTTTTATGGTTATGTATTGTTTGTTTTATATGCAGCACTTTGGAGTGCTTTTGTGAGTTGCCCTGACTACCTTCCGGGAGATGGTGGTGGGGTATAAATAAAGATCATCATCATCATCATTATCATCATCATCATCCAGATACTTGGTATCTCATTCCAAATTAGTGTGAGGTGGGACACTGAGTCAGTCCTTACTTTGCACATATGGAAAACTTCTGTTTGAAGATAGGGGCATTCTCATACATGAGTGCTCTCCCCACAAATCAAGGACCCTGATATTTCAAGAGCTCTGACCACATGGGTGGCCTTCATGAGTAGTAGCAGTGTCAGGAAACACAGAGCTATCCCAAGTGTCACTGAATACCCTACCACACAATTAGGCCTTTGTGGCTTTTCCTACTTTCTTCATCCTATCTTAATTGTTTGAAAGCAGATTACATTAACCAGGAGCTGTTCTTAGTTCTTGGCTTCGGGCTCTGAAATCTCAGGACCAGGTATGGTTCCCATCTAGCAGCCCTATGCCTCAGGGGCTATCTCTCCCCAAAGCCCTGGCTTGTGTCTATATAAAGGAAAGTTATTGCTATTGACAGAAACCACTGAGATTGTTAAAAGGCATCCAAATGGGGTGGAGGTGGAATTGTTATTCCATCATTACAAGGTGATATACTCTTTCTGTTGGTCACACTGTATGGCAAGGCCATTTAAAGGACTAAGACTAGGCCTGAGTGCTCCATGCATGTGCATGTGCATGCATGCACACACGAGCATACAACATTTAGCAAAGAGAACAAATTGGTTGTTTTGTTCTCACTTCATCAGCTCTTCAGAGCCTGCTAATTTTATCTTCGTTAATGTATAGTATATCACAGGCATGCACAAACTTTGCCCCTTCGGGTCTTAGGAATTGTGGGAATTAAAGTCCAAAACACCTGTAGGGCCAAAGTTTGACAGTGCCTTTTCAGTCAAATATCACAAAGCAATTTACATGCACACACACACCAATAGAAAGGAAGTAATAAATGAAAAACAGTGACAAAAGGGGAAAGAAGGCTATTCAACCTGCAAGTGGGTACAGGGAATTTACCAAAGGGTGTGTGCTTCCCCCGCACTAACAGTAGGAAGTAATTTACTGGAGTTTCCTGCTTTTGCATCTATCCCTGATACTCAAATCTTTTTCCAGTGAACACTGATCTCTATTTCCTCTTTGGCTTGGCTGCATGTTCCAGAGGAAATTAATTTACACCTAGACAACACTGACAAAATCACGTAGCTATGATCTGACATACTATATGGTTGTGGGAAATTCCCACAACGTAAAGCACACCTCCTGGTGGATTCCCTCATGTTTAAACAGGTGTTATAAATAGCTTAGGTGCCGGAGATTGACACAGATCTGAAAAGCCAAACTCTCCTGATACACATAATACAACCACTAGAAGAATCATGGTTAGCTTCAGCAAGAAGAATGCAACTTTAGCTCTTTTGGTGGGTCTGATCATTCTTGTGGGTACTAGTAAAGGTAAGTGGTCTTTCTTGTGATGATATTGTATGTTGTTGGACTGCATATCCCCAGAAACTTAGCCAGCACAAATGTGGAGAGAGATTATGATAGTTGTCCCACTAAGTTGGAGGGCCACCAGGAATGTAGTTACTGTCAGCAGAGCAGAGGAGAGCACTGCTCTCTCTGCTAAGATTTCTGCACCCAAATGAAAGTTTTCTTCAGCAACGTGAAAATTCAGTTGAACATTTAGAATGGAATCTGGCAGCTTTTATAGCAGTTGTAATATTATAGGTTGGACTTAAAATATCCTCACTACTGCAAGTTCATGGTTTTGAATAAATAAATGAATGAATTGATAAATGAATGTGACCCTTAAAAACCTAACTTCACATCTTGGCAACCAAAATGTTGGTGAGGCAACAGAGGCCAGGATGCTGGAAAATGCTTCCAGTACTGGGGTGGTTTGAGATGGGCAACTGTGGTGGAACCCTGAGGGATCTCTCCAGCTGCACCCCATGACCGGGACTGCGTTGCAGATTTTATTTCCAAGTTTTCTGATCTCCAGAACTTCAGAAATTGTTCAGTTGGAGCACTGCTTCACAGTTCTTTTGGGGTAAGTTGGAGGGCAACATCAGTCTTAACTATGATGATTTAGCTCCATCATCATAGATACAATGTTGAGACAGGATATTGGCCACAGTGTAGGCATCCACATTCTCTTTGTAACTTGAGAACAATTTGAATGTCTTACTCAAGCCTTTCTGTAGTAAATTTCCTGCAACCTGTGAGAGAAAGAAATTGATTTCCATTTTTTTTAAATGCAGCACTCCTACAAAACATTGCAACATTGCCATTGGATAGGAGATTGATCCAAAGAACATGCTCCAAGCAGGGCAAAAAAATATGGGAGATGTAATGTTGTTGTTCTTCCTCCTCAGCACAAAGCAACCAAGATTGCTGCCTTTCTTACACCAAGAGGCCGCTGCCACGACAGGCTATCAAAGGATTTGTTGAACAACTTTCCAGTGAAGTCTGTGACATCAATGCTGTCATGTAAGTTAACAAAGAAAGAAATGCATAATGAGATTTTTTTAATGGCCCAATAAGCCAATATTTTATGTAGTTATTAAAAGGTGAAGATCTTGCAAATGGGGGAAACTTTTATGGGAGTTTTCAAATTAATCACACTAGGCAACATACATTTTAGTGTCTCAAATGTTAGACCTGTTTCTGGGTACATATTTGACTCACTAATTCCAAAAATGGCACCAGTTGGCATCTGCTCTCCTATAAAGAATAATGATGACCATATCTAAGAAACCTAGCTGGTGCAGTTTATCCAATGCATTTTTCCAAATCACCCCAAATAATCCCAGGAACAGGCCTAAAATCTAAGATCCCAATACTTTTTTTGTTTAAGTCAATAATTTTCCTCCTTTCCCCAGTTTTATTACTAAAAGAGGATTGAGAGCTTGTGCAAATCCTAAAGACCGGTGGGTCAAGAAGCACCTCCAGTGGCTGAGGTAAGTAAACCAATATGTTTCCTTGATAAAGCAGAAATATCTGATATAGTATTTACTACAGAAGATTTGGTGATTATGGGAGGTAGCTATAATATAGGGGCCGTGATCCAAAAAGTTGTTGACCATGCTTTGTAAATGTGATAAATCATTCCAATGATCCTTAAACAGGAATGGGCAGCAATACTGGGATTAGAGCTGGGATGAAATAAAGGCATATAGGGCCCTTCCATGCAGCCACATAACCCAGAATATCAATACCAAGAGGCTGTAAACACAATATATATGATAGTCCTAGGTGTGAAGTGTTTTCAGAGTCTCATTTTCTACAATGCTAAAAATGTAGGGACTGAGGGAAAATTTCATTGAGAGGAATTCTTAATTGAGGGGCAATACTTATATTCATTCTCCCCACCATAGCTACCCAACTGTATAACATCCATGCCTTTTTAAATGGTAGACACAGGGTTTTCCCATCCATAGTATAGAAGCTGTAGAGCAAAGAGGGAAACTTGAAGCTTACCTACTTATTTCCTCATTATTTTTGCAGCACTAAACTCAAGAAGATGTCAAAATTGCAGAATTACTGAAGTGAAACAAGAGGCAATGGCAGACCAAAGAACCTAAACTAGGTTGGAATTGTTTCTCTGTACACTATTGTGTGCTTCCCGATTTTTCAAAAATAGATTCTTTGGAACCTCAAAAAACTGATTCATATTGCATCGATTACTGTTTTTAATGAAGCATAGCAGACATGTTGCTTTGTATGTTCATATGGACTCATATTTTGTGATCAAAACGTAAATATTAAACTGTATTTTATGCATATGTGCCCTATTGGGTGTTACATACATCCTACTCTTCATATGATGCATATACTGTAACTAATTTTAGCTCTTCCCCCTTTCTTATCTATCTATCTATCTATCTATCTATCTATCTATCTCTGCATCTATATCTATATCTAGATGGCATTGTCACTCTTCTAAACTTCTGTTATTACATTCATCCTTTGCAACATATTATTGCATATTGGATTGGTGGGATTTGTTTTTACATTTCTTTAAAATGAATAGAATGTATTTATTCATCACTTTTTGGTGACTGTTCTAAGACTGTTTTCTGTTGATGCATATAAACTGGAGCATGTATAGTATTTTAACTATATATGAAAAGAAACGAATATCAACAAATAAACTTATCTTTTACAACAATAGTGTTTATCCTGTATTATATATTTAGATCTCATAGTATTCATAAGATCAGGGTGGAAAACATTAAAATTCTATGTCAACGCATTGCCAATAATCAGCCATCCAAAGCCAGCCCTACTGAAAGATCTCACAGCCTCGGAAACATAACATAAGAGGTCTCATAAATGAAGGATGTATATAAGCAATAACTATATGCATGAAGCTAATGAAAATGTTAACTGAGACATACAATAATAAGCCATTTATATTTCCCTCATCTCCTTCCCACATATTGTATCCCTTGATCAAAGCTGTCTCCTGTGTTTGTTTTGTCATTTGTATTCTGTCCTGTACCCAGAATCTGAGGGAAGGCCACAGTAGAACAAAACAACATAACAAAACATGTACTAAAATCCATAATCCACCAAATCAAACCCACTGCCTTGGACCATGGAAGCTCAGTAGAAGAACCATGTTTTAACTTGGTGGTGAAATGAGGTCAGCCTTACCATCAATTGGACCTTTAAGGAGAAGGGAGATCTTGCAAACAGGGTGACACAACATATAAGACCCCTTCCTGTCTCCCCATATAATGTTTTGATCCAATGCTGGGACACAGAAGACCTCGCTGAGAGACTTGGACCAGGGTATCTCATATCTACATCCACATGCACACACTCTATATGCATATACAGGAAGTCCCAAAACATAAGATTTACAAACAACCATAGTTAAGAATGGAGGTGAGACAACAGAAAGTGAAAAAAAATCTATCTCTAGGAAGCAAAATTCACTCCTGTAAGAATTATCATGGGGAAAAAGGTGTCTCTACTGAAGCTTTCTCATCAATCCTTGTTTCCACAGCAAGCCAAATTTTTCAAAATCCAAATATCACATGGACAGAAAGTGAGCTGAATTCTTCTGAACAAGGGCCCAGACAACAAAACAAACACCACAGGGGTGTTAACCATTACACTTACAAAGTGCATCTGTTCCGACATACATACAAATTTAACTTAAGAACAAATCTTGTTTGCAACTTGGGGACTGCCTGTATAGTATATACATACACATAAATACAGTGTGTCCCAAAAATACAATATATACATTCTTTAGAGCACATGTGCCAAACCCAAAGGCTGAATCTGGTCCGCCATGTCACTTTATGTGGCTGTGTAGCTGCTGGACTATAACTCCTGTATTTTTCATGGGATTTGGAATACAGTAAGATCTAGAAGGATGCCACTTGTTCTATTTAGTCATGATAGTAGGATCTGAATTTACATACAAGACTAGTGGATAGGATGCATGACTTTAAAATGTCATTTAATCTTTCTGAAACCTGAAAGTCACAAGTGCTCAAGGGACCTTCCCACACTCTCCATTTACTTAGCAAAGATATGTGCAGCTTCATTGTGAATAAACTCTACATGAACCCCAACCACTATTTCAAACCAAACCTCATTATTCATCACAACTACCTAGAAGCACTGTACTATTAAAGTATTTCCCACTTGGCATAAAAGAATTCCTATACACAAATGAGACAAACAAACCTATTTAAAAAGTGTTTCCTGCCTCCCAAAATATTTTGAAAAATCTCTGCGATTATGTCTTATTTCCTGTCTTTGAAACATGAAAGATTAATCCTGAAAGGGCAAACAGTAGGGAGTCATAGTAATGCTTTGAAAACGTAGTGGGTTATTAAATTCTGACCTATATCGTGGTGCGATTGATTTACAATGTTCAATTATTTTCAGTTGAGAAAGGAGCAAAGTTCGCTTGTTTCAAAAGGGGAAAAAGCTCCCTCTTTGATCTTACTTACTATGTGTGCATATTTTCCACAATAGACATTTCTGTTTACACTGCCACTGTAAATTATGCTTTAAAGGGTCATCGGCAATTGGCAAGATTAACTGAGAGCCTGATAGGACTCCTATTGGTCACAACTGAAACAAAGATCACAATAATAAGGGTTATTATTATTCCTGGGTTATAAATGTCATTTCCCTAATTGCTTCTATCATAAACACGTGGGAAAAAATGATTAAACTGCAAAAACTTTTGTCTTTGCAGGAGGGACATCCTACTATAAACAAACTTAAAACACTATGGGCTTCCATAGATTACTACAGTCTGTATATTTTGGAAACAGTTACATTTTAGCTGTATATGTTCAACCTGATCTCCTTTAAAGTTTTGGGAAGATTTGTGTTACATCAGTTCTTTAGAGTGATGGTCATGTTTTGCTCCTTATGAACCAACATGGCAATGAAATGAGAAGCCATCAGATTACTTAATATTGAATTCAGAGCTTTTGAGGAACTTCTTTTTATTGAATTCCCCAACTTGACTCTTTATATCCCATTTTTGTTTTAGTACAGATTGTTATTAATTCCTTTCTGCTAATATGCTTGATTCAAGCAATGATCATTTTTAGGATCTTAGAAAAATAGGAACTCACTTTTTGATCAGGGGGCCCTCAGTATCAACTGGGTTTTTGGACCACTACGGATCTCAAAATTTGTGGATACAGGTGACTTCATCCCACTAAACATGTCAGATGTTTGGAAGAGTAGGTTTACTATACCCCTCAAGCATACTCTGCTTTGAAATTAAATGGATGATTTTCCTACCTCCATCACACACTAGCAAACTATCCATTTTATTCAGGAGTTCCCAGTTGATTTGCCATCACATTGTAGAGAGTTGTTCCTGTCCACTGTCACTCCTTTTGTTTTCTTTGTGAAAAGTAAAACACCTGGAGTATGATTTTTGTTCCTGGGCTATAAATGTCATTTCCTTATTGGTTTTCTCAATGATCTCTCTCTTTCTTCTTCTTCTTCCATTTGTTGGAAGAAGGAAGGAGAGGAGAAAGAGAGGAGGATGTAACACATGGCACACACCACACATGGAAGGAAGGAAAGCCCATAGAAAGTGCATGAGACACAAAGGAACACAACACACTGCTGATTTTCCCTCCTCTGTAAGCAAAAGAAAATGGTGAAGCTTTTTCTCAAAGGGGCATTCTGCCCCCCCCCCCCCAACTGCCTAACCATATCATTTTAAAGCTGAGACCAACACATCCCATCACATAACAGAACGGACCATTTTGCCTATCTCTATCCAGGTAATTTGCAAAAAGTTCACTTGCCAACCAGCTTAAAAAGTGTCTGAAAAGATAAACTCATGTAACCTTGGAGTCCTTGTGGACAACCAATTAAACATGAGCCAACAATGTGATGGGGCAGCTTAAAAACCCATTGGGATTTTGGCCTTATAAATGGAGTATAGTGTCTAGATCCAGGGAAGTCATGCTACCCCTCTATTCTGCCTTGGTCAGGCCACACCTGGAATACTGTGTCCAATTCTGGGCAACACAATTGAAGGGAGATGTTGACAAGCTGGAATGTGTCCAGAAGGGGGTGATTAAAATGATCCAGCATCTGAGGAACAAGCCCTATGAGGAACGGCTTAAAGAGTTGGGCATGTTTAGCCTTCAGAAGAGAAGGCTGAGAGGAGACATGATGGCTGTGTATAAATATGTAAGGGGAAATCATAGGGAGGAGAGAGTAAGCTTGTTTTCTGCTGCCCTGGAGACAGAACAATGGAAAGGAGATTCCACCTGAACATAAGAAGAACTTCCTAACTGTGAGAGCTGTTCAGCAGTGGAACTCTCTGCCCCGGAGTGTGGTGAAGGCTTCCCCTTTGGAGGTTTTAAACAGAGGCTGGGTGGCCATCTGTCAGGGGTGCTTTGAATGCAATTTTCCTGCTTCTTGGCAGGGGTTGGACTGGATGGCCCACGAGGTCTCTCCCAACTCTATGATTCTATAACCCTTTGCAATGCTTTTTAAACTCCAAGATATCTCTGTGCTACACTTGAAGCCTACGTCATGTGATGAACACAGTAGGTTGCCATTTCTTAAGTGCGAGACTCAGTAGTATTCAATGAATGTGATGAAGTGGCAGAACATATTACATAAAATACAAAAGTTAAAATGCATTGCTATGAAACAGATATATTAAAGTACACAGGACAAAGTAAAATACAGTAAACACAGGACCGGAGTTTAAAATTCATCATTAAAAATTGACTGGTTAGGCCTGTGGGAGAGATAGGATGCAATAAAGATACCTATTGCTACAACCTCTCTATGGGTACATCTACATCAGGTATGGGCAAACCTATTTATTTACAGTATTTATATTCCGCCCTTCTCACCCCACAGGGAACTCAGGACGGCTTGCAATGGACATATACATGGTAAATATTCAATGCCATTAGGCAGACAACATATATAGACAGACACAGAGGCAATTTAAAATTTCAGCTTTCCAGCTTCATAAGGGTATGCTCAATTCTGGACACAGGGGGAGCTGCCGCTTCACTGTCCACTTGTAACACCGAGTCCTTGATGGAGTACTTCCTCATTCTTCTGCACGCTGCTGTTTTTTTTTATGGTGTCATAAATTAATTAAATTAGCCTCCCCACATAAAGTGGTACTTACAATTCCTACTTGACAGATGAAACTGTATTTCAGGTTGCATAGGTCAAGGGAGTTCAGCCTGCGATTGTGTTTCAGAATCAGGGTGTTTTGGATGTGGGGAATGATGCTAATGAGGTTCAAGATGAGTTTCAAGATGGCAATGGTTTGGTCAGTGATATTGATGCAGAGAATGACCAGGAGATCCCTGTAGTTTCCCATGAGAATGCCCCTGAGGGGTGTGGGGATGATGATGGAAATAGCTCGGCACTTGCAGAAATTAATGAGCAAGTAGATAACGAGCCGAGAGATAGATGAGAAGAGTTCAGTCAAAACAGGAGAGCTGTGCAAAGGCTTAGGCACTCTGTCAGGCTTCAACAGATAACAATAACAAAGCCTCACCTAAAGAGAAACCAATTTCTGACCGCTAGTGACCTAGCTAATGAGGAGATAAAAGTCTCAAGTTTGGGATGTGTAGTCAGATAAAGCATCGGTTAGAATCACACCAAGTTCCCGTCCTTGTTTCATGCAAATCTTGCTTTGAAGTTTCATGCTAAGATATTTCTTGTTCATGGTTTTTGTGACGATGTGTAAGTTTTATTTCTTTGGTTATGTGTAGTTTGGACAGTAGTTTAGGGATGGTAAGTATGGGAGATTATGTTTTGTGGGAGATGGTGGCTTGGCGTTAGCTGAGTTGCCATAGCAACAGGGGCGGAGCCAACTGCCTCTTCAGGAGGCAGCTGTTTTAAAAAGTCAGTCAGTACGCCGGTGAGCTACTGAGAGGACTGAGTCTCTGGGTGGAGATTCAGGGAATGTGTCTGTAGCCGGTGTGCTATAGGAAAGACTGAATCTCAGGGTGGGGATTCAGGGAATCAATTGGTGACCAAAGTAGTTGCAGAGAAGGACCCGGTAGTGAGAGAGCTACAGGGGGTTGTTGATTCTAAATTAAGAATCAAGGTTTGGCTGGGTTTAAGCCTGCTGTGCCTGCTGTGAAACGTTTTGAAGTCTGTGCCTGAGATTACTCATGAAACCTTTCCAATGTAACCATCAAGATTTGTGCCTCTTTTGAAGAAACAGTTAAACATGTTATACTCCTGTTAAAATAAACTTGTTACTGTTCTCCTCAAGCCTTGCCTGATACAGTTTCTCCTAAGTTGAACAGCCTGCAATAGTAAAGTCAAGCCAGGAAAGTAAACGCTACGCTATCAAATAAATAAAGCCTTCTGTAATTAACAGTCCATTTATAAAATAGCTCCTAGGTTGATATTGATCGTTGCCTGGCTTCCCTCATAGATTAGGTGGCAGTGGGTGTTTTACCACTCGCACCTTCACATTTGGTAGCATTCGGTGGCATTAAAACGGTCTTCTTCACAGTTTTGGATTCCTGGATTTCATGATTGCTTACCCAAGCCTTGGATCAATGTATTCCTGATTTTCTGGATTGTATTGGAGATGTGTGGACTTTGCTTTTATGAACATTGCTGAACTCTACCTTGGACTAATTTGTTCCTGCTTATCTTCTTACCTAATTGGATTTACGTATTTCCTTAAAGTGCTTTTTTACTTTGCTGCTTTTTACTTATCTATATATATATAAATGCTCTGTGCATAATGAGTACCTTAAAAACAAAAGAACCAATGAACAAAATCACACCAAATTTGGCAACAAAACGTCTCACAACACAAGGAGTGACCATCACTCAAAAAATTATGATTTTGTCATTTGGGAGTTGTAGTTGCTGGGATTTATAGTTCACCTACAATCAAAAAGCATTCTCAACTCCATCAACAATGGAATTCAACCAAACGTGGCACACAGAACTCCCATGACCCACAGCAAATACTGGAAGGGTTTGGTGGGCATTGACCTTGAGTTTGGGAGTTGTAGTTCACCTACATCCAGAGAGCACTGTGGACTCAAACAGTGGTGGATCTGGACCAAACTTGGCACAAGCATTCAATACGATCAAATATGAACACAGATGGAGTTTGGGGGGGAAATAGACCTTGACATTTAGGAGTTGTAGTCACTGGGATTCACAGTTCACATACAATCAAAGAGCATTCTGAACTCCACGAATGACAGAATCGGGGCAAACTTCTCACACAGAACCCCCATAACCAACAGAAAATACTTAAGGCCATCCAATCCAACTCCCTTCATCAGGGCAAGAAAATGTAATCAAAGTCCTCGTGACAAAGAGCCATCCAGCTATAGATATATATAGACAGATAGATAGATATGATTCACACACACAGAGAGATATAGTATCATAGATTTGAAAGGGACCCTTACAAAAGGACAGTGATATGTTGCATGTTCCATCAACACTGACAAAGAAACAGCAAGAAATACTTTTTACCCACAAGCAGAAAGAAATTACATATACTAGAAACCAGCACTTTCTCTTTACTTTGTTTTCCAGATCAACAGACTGGGCCACAGCAACGCATGGCAGGGGACAGCTAGTCTTCAATAAAAGGATTGTTTTTTCCTGTTCAACGTGTGGTGTTTAAAGTCAGAGGATTATTCCCGTTCGGGAGTGCAATAGCTAAACTATTAATGGTTGGGAGCTCACTCTGACGCGGGGTGGCTTTGAACTCATTACCTCTTGGTCAGTAGTGATTTAATGCAGCTGGCTACTAACTGCACCACAGCCCGGTCCAAACTGGACAACCTTCCGCCTTCTGGGTGTTTTGGACTTCAACTATCACAATTCAGAAATTATGGGAGTTGAAGTCCAAACATCTGGAGGCCTGATATACACTGTACAATTGATCCATAATTCAGGAATTATGGGAGTTGAAGTCCAAACATCTGGAGGCCTGATATACACTGTACAATTGATCCATAATTCAGGAATTATGGGGGTTGAAGTCCAAACATCTGGAAGGCTGATGCCTGATATACACTGTACAATTGATCCAGTTTGTATACCATTTGAACTGCTATGAATTCAATGCTATGGAATCATGGGAGTTGTTGTTGTTTGGTGAAGTACTAGCCTTCTTTGGCAGAGAAGGCAATAGAACAGGCCAAGTCCAAAACACTTGGAGGGCCGAAGTTTGCCCAGGCCTGCCATAGAATAAATCCAAGATGGCGCTCCTCCTCCTCCCACACAGGTGTGCAGCCTCCTTCTCCCTCTTCTCTGAATGCCTCTCTCGCGCGCCTCCAAAGCCCTTTATGAGGTCACCACAAGCGTAAGCCACGCCCCCTTCCGAGGAGCGTCGCCATAGCAACGCGCAGGACCATAAAGAGGCGGGGCTTCGCTTCCAAGTCTCCTTTCCTCATGGTCAGGAGGAGAAAGGACCTGGGAGCCGGCCGCGCCTGCGCAGTCCACCCGGCCTCGGTTTGCCCGGTCTCCATGGCAACGAGGCCGGCCCAGAGGCCTCAGCCATCGCGGGCGAGATGAAGCTGAAGCGGTTCTTGCTGCGATACTACCCTCCCGGTGCGGAACAGAGAAGGATAGGGAAACTTGGATGTGGGGGGGAAGGGGAAGGGGGAAGCTGGGGTGCATCTACTCTGTAGAATTAATTCAGTTTGATACCACTATTAACAGCAGCATCTCAATGATATGGGATCCTGGAAGTTATAGTTTAGTGAGGCACCAGCAGTCTTTGCAGAGAAGGGTGTAAATTAAATAAATCAATAATGCTACCGAGACCCAGGTGGCACAGTGGGTTAAAGCGCTGAGCTGCTGACCGAAAGGTCGCAGGTTCGCTTCCGCTGTCAGCCCTAGCTTCTGCCAGCCTAGCAGTTCGAAAACATACAAATATGAATAGATCGATAGGTACCGATTCTGTGGGAAGGTAACGACGCTCCATGCAGTCATGCCGGCCACATGACCTTGGAGGTGTCTATGGACAACGCCGGCTCTTCGGCTTAGAAATGGAGATGAGCACCACACCCCAGAGTCAGACATGACTGGACTTAATGTCAGGGGACAACCTTTACCTAATGCTACCGAGCCCTGGGAGTTGTAGTTTAGTGTGACAATTTGCCAGAGAAGGTGAAGAACTTGTAAAACTACAACTTCCATAGCATTGAGCTATGTCAGGTCCCTTCCACACAGCCATATAACCCAGAATATAAAGGCCGATAATCCACAATATCTGCTTTGAACTGGGTTATCTGAGTGTGGACAGTGTGGACTCAGCTAACCCAATTCAAAGCAGATATTGTGGATTTTCTGCCTTGATATTCTGGGTTATATGGCTGTGTGGAAGGGCCTCAGTTAAAGGACTGCCAAACTTCGTTACTTCCACTGTGCAGATGCACCCCAAATCTTTCTATGGAGTTGTATATAATGGGACAGGAGCATCCATGGATTCAGGTATCCACGGTGGGATGGATACCCATACCCAGGTGGATACATTTTTGAGATACCTTGTAATTTCCAGTGCTCATGTAGTCTGTTGACTGGAAATTAGAAAACTCCCACTGTATTTGTGGAGTGTGTGCATGTTTATATCCTAAACTAGCCATCCCCTGCCACGCATCGCTGTGGCCCAGTCTGGTGATCTGGAAAATAAAGTAATGAGAAACTGTTGGTTTCTAATATTTGTAATTTCTTTATGCTTGTGGGTAAACAGTATTTCTTGCTGTTTCTTTGTCAGTGTTGATGTGGAGAGTGTCTGGTTTGCTGACTCTGGAACATGCAACGTATCATTGTCCTCCTTTAGGGGTCCCTTTCACATCTGTGATACTATATCTGTGTGTGTATGATTCATATCTATCTATATCTATGGCTGGATGGCTCTTTGTCAGAAGGGCTTTGAGGATGTTTTCTTGTCCTGGTGAAGGCAGTTGAACTGGGTGGCCCTATGTATGGGGGTTCTGTGTGGGAAGTTTGCCCCAATTCTGTCTTTGGTGAGGTTCAGCATGCACTTTGATTTTAGGTGAACTATAAATCCCAGTAACTACAACTCCCAAATGTCAAGGTCTATTTTCCTCAAACTCCACCAATGTTCATATTTGGGCATATGGAATATTTGTGCCAAGTTTGGTCCAGTTCCATCATTGTTTGAGTCCACAGTGCTATCTGGATGTAGATGAACTACAACTCCCAAACTCAAGGTCAATGCCAACCAAACCCTTCTGGTGTTTTCTGTTGGTCATGGGAGTCCTTTGTGCTAAGTTTGGCCCAATTTCATCATTGGTGGAGTTCAGAATGCTCTTTGAATGTAGGTGAACTATAAATCCCAGCAACTACAACTCTCAAATGACAAAATCAATTTTTTTGAGTGATGGTCACTCCTTGGGTTAGTAGGTATCTTGTGTCCAAATTTGGTGTCAATTTGTCCAGTGGTTTTTGAGTTCTGTTAATCCCACAAATGAACATTATATTTTTATTTATATAGATAAGTTGCCTTCAAAAAGGTTTCTTGCATCCCCAGTCTTGAAAAGCCAGGGGAAGAATTTAACGAACTGTATTTGGAAATATAAGATGCCTAGAAATCGCTACAATTTCTTCCAAATAAATGTGTCTAGGATTAAAATACTCACTAGGAATTCTCTTGTTGCATGAATTAGGAAGCTGTTTAGCCTACATTGTAGCCCCCTTCCACACAACTGAATAAAATCCCACATTACCTGCTTTGAACTGGAATATATGGCACTGTGGACTCAGACAACCCAGTTCAAAGCACATATTGTGGGAATTTCTGTCTTGATATTCTGGGTTATATGGCTGTGTGGAAAGGCCCATAGTTGCATTACATTAGCACTTAATTGCCTTTTATGTTTAAAAGGCAACTTGGGATAGTAAATTGCCTCCTAACGTCTTTTGAATCAGACTGTGGCCCCTTCCACAGAGCTGTATAAAATCCACCTTGAATTGGATTATATGGCAGTGTGGACTCAGATAACCTAGATATTGTGGGTTATCTGCCCTGACATTCTGGATTTTATGGCTGTGTGGAAGGGCAGGATACATAGTTCAGCCTCCTAACTTCTTTTGAATCAGACTGTGGCCCCTTCCACACAGCTGTATAAAATCCACATTGAATGGGATTATATGGTAGTATGGACTCAGATAACCCAGTTCAAAGCAGATATCATGGGTTATCTGCTTTGATATTCTGGATTTTATGGCTGTGTAGACGGGCAGGATAGTGGCTGAATATCACTGTCCACTCCCAGTTGTGTTGTTTGTGCCAAACAGTTCTATATTTCAGTGTTGTGAGGGTCTCAGAGATACTCTGAATTCTGTATGTATCAGCAATATGATGCTTTCAGCTGCAACTACAGGAAGGTTGCAATATTTATTTTTCTTTGCACACATTGTAACGAGCCTGTTTTTTATTGTGTCAGAAGCAAATTGAAGGTACAGTTATAATGTATTTGAAAACACAAAGTTAAAAATTGGCATTTTAGTAGATTTCCTTTGACAAGAAGCTGACCACATGGAGTGCCTCTGGTACCACTGTGAGAAGGTCCTCCGTTGTGCGTGTGGCAGGGCTCAGGTTGCATTGTAGTAGGTGGTCTGTGGTTTGCTTTTCTCTACACTTGCATGTTGTGGATTCCACTTTATAGCCCCATTTCCTAAGATTGGCTCTGCATCTCTTTTGGTGCCAGAGTGCAGTCTGTTTAGCACCTTACAAGTCACCCAATCTTCTATGTGCCCAGGAGGGAGTTTCTCCTCTGGTATCAGCCATGGATTGAGTTTCCATGTTTTAGCCTGATACTTCTGGACTCTCGCTTTCTTAGGTGTTCCTATGAGTATATCTGTAGATCTTAGGAAGCTGTTTCTTGATTTAAGATATTGGCTTGCTGGCTGATATACAGAGGATGAGCCGGAGATGACAATGCTTTGGTCCTTTCATTACTGGCTGCTACTTCCCAACAAATGTGAGGTGATGCAATACTGGCTAAAACAAGTATGTTGAAACCATTATAGGGGCTGCAGTTCTATGCAGTTTAACCTACACCCCTCTACACTGCCATACAATCCAGATTATCAAACCAGATGATACACATTATCTGCTTTATTTATTTATTTATTTATTTACTTTGCTTGTTTCTCAGCCCATAGGCGACTCAACGCGGTTCACAACAGAGCAAAAAGACAGTCATATCAAAATAGCAATAAACAATTTAAAACCATGAGAGCATAATATACAAGTAATGGCACATCAATAACAACACAATAACGTCTCGTAACTAGAATCGTGATCCAACTCGTCGTCTATAATTCCATTCCTATATTCATCGTATTCACTGCACTGTTTATCTGAATGCCTGTTCGAACAGCCAGGTTTTTAGTTTTCTTCGAAACACCATTAACGTCGAAGCTGATCTTATGTCCATGGGAAGGGCGTTCCACGTCCAAGGCACGTCCGTCAAGGCAGATAACAACTTCTCATTGGCTGAGGGAGGAAACGTTGGGTCTCGAGGGCAGGAAGTGGAAAGGAAAGGAGGGTTTGAACTGGATTATATGAATCTACACCGCCATATAATTCAGTTCAAAGCAGATAATCTGAATTTTATGTGGTAGTGTAGAAGGGGCCCTAGAAGTAAGCACTATTGAAAACAGTGGAGTTTACTTCTAAATAGACTGGCATAGAATTCCACCGGAATTGTGCCCAAGTGTTTGTTCATGGACAGTGAAAGCCTTTATATTTTTCCTTTGAACAAGAAGGTTGTTACACCATGAAATAAAGCAGCTTCTTGTGTAACATGGAAGATGAGGAACATACCTGGTTTCCAGCAAAAGTAGAAATAATATTTCTCTCCAGATGCTGGGCCAGGCATCATAGGCAACAGTAAGAAATTCTGCGAACTGCAATACCATGGAGGACCACATGATTTTAACTAAATATCTTAAAGGCACCAGATTCTGTCTGATCTTGGAAACTAAGCAGGATCAGTCCTGGTTCTTACTTGGATGAGAGACTGTCAATGAATACCAGGCGTTGATGGCTGCATCCCAGAGGAAGAACTAGCAAAACTGCGTTTGAGTATTCTTTGCCTAAGAAAATCCTAAGAGAACTTGACAAGATATTTGTTTAATTCTGCTCATTTCTTTGTTGTGTGATTTTGAGTTATTTCTGATTTATGGCAACTGTTTTCAGAGGAGACTTGCTATTGTTGTCTTCTAAAGCTGGGAGAGTATGACTTGCTGAACATCACTCAGCAGGCTGAGCATATATTCAAATCTTGGTCTCCCAGAGTATTAGCCCAACACTTCAACCACAACACTGTGCTGGCTCTTGCTTATTTCTTACATAGTTTGCATTAAAAATTGGTGCTGCTGAAATCAATAGGGTTTTCTTAAAGGAAAGGTCAACCTTTGTAGTGTTCACTAATAGAAGTCAGTTTGATATTGATTTAATAATTATTGTGTCCTTTTTCACAGGCATTATTCTGGAATATGTTCAAGGCGGGGAAGTGAAAACCAAATCCATAGATTTACTAGACCTGAATGCTGCGTGAGTATTATATATTTTGTGGGATGTAAAATTACTTATTGTCACACAATTTAAGTAATGCATACAAATCTGAACAGTTAAAAAAACCCGACAGTACACTACCCTCTTTCAGGCATATTCATTTGAAATTATGTGCTTGATACTGTGTACCTTAACAATGCTATCAGTACAACCATTAGTTTTGTTGTGAACTCAATACGGTTGTAAATTCAAGGGTTCATAGCTTCATTTCACGGCCATTTATATGACAGCATTTTTGGAAGCCATAGAATTTAGTACTTGGGTGTAGGCTAGCAACAATCAAATATGCCTCATGCTTTGTAATAGGATGTTTTTATCCACAACATATGTTTGAGATAGATAAAATATACAGATATGGATTAATCTTACTTATTCTATTGAGATGTAAGCCTCTGTATTGAGATATAATCACAAGAGAACACAAAGTAGATTGTTCAGGATATAAATAAGGCGATGGCTGGAATTTATTATTGTAGGAACAGATAATGTAACCTAGAGGTACACTTCCATAAATGATTTTTATTCATAGTTCTTGCAGTCAATATCGTGGCACTATTTACCAAACAGCTGATTATAAATTTTTCCCAATCCTTCTTTACCGGGCAATAGTATTGTTATATTTCTACCTCTTTCCACACTGGAGATTGTTAACAAGAGGGAAATAGAAACACAAGTATGCTTCCCAGAGAACAGACTTCTGTCACTCACAGTGGCTACTGCCCAATAAAGCACAATGGGAGGGAGGGCAGGCCAAGAGATGCACTTTAGTTAATGATACCTGTTGTATACCATTGTTTTTGTCTTATTTCTACCTTAAGGTGTCTTGGCAAGATTTGTTTGAAGGGGATTGTGATGGCCTTTCGTTTTCTCTGAGGCTGAGAAAATGTGATGTGCCTAAGGTTGAGCAGGGATTCAAACCCTGATCTCCAGGGCCATAGTCCAGTGCTCAAACCATTACACCATGCTGTCCCTCCTCAATAGCCTTGGCATACTTATTTAAGTAGTAGAGCTAGGATCTTGGCCTGGGGTTTATGGTTATCCTAGGAGTGTTCATGAGCTAAATCCAAAATGTCTCAATAATATTTCAGAAGAAAGATTGGCTTATATAATCTATAAACAGCACCTAACAGGTGAGTTCCTTAAAAACATCACTACTAATTACTGAGAATATTCCTCACAATTCCATTTCTTTCACGGACATTATTCCCAAGTGGAACATTTATCTGTCACTAGCAAGAACATCCTTAAGACAATGTTTTATAAACAGGATCCAGTTCTGTAAATTGTATATTTGTTCCCAGTGATAATGTTGTCCTTTTAACATTCCCAAAGATGCAAGGTTATTTTTAGAGGGTTTTTGTTTTCAAATTTTAGAAAATTTAACCCCCATGACTAACTCTGAGAAGCATAACGTCGAAGTGTTTTTTCTAAGAGGATGAGGTTTATTTGGCAAGAACACACACTATTTGAAATTAAAACCAGTAACAATAGTGACTTGGCATCACTGGAATAATATGAATGCTGTGTGTGCATGATAAGACTTACAGGTTATCCAGAAGTTGATTTCATTAAGTGCAGTGCAAGTGAAGGTTTATTTCTTTATTTTCAAAATTTATCTCCAGTCTTTCCACAAAATGGTTTGCAAGTCAATGAGCTATAGTAAAAGTTTAACAATAAAAGTTAACTATACTATGAAAAATAAAGTACGAAATAACAATCAAAATATGATAGTTATACAATGTGCATGATTGCCAGAAGATGAACATGTTGTTTCAAAATGTACTTCAGTACAGATGTAGGAGCCTTAGTAGAAGATATTAGAAAGTCAGAACCCCTTATCACAGCCTCTCGTAAAGACCAAGTTGTACATTTAATACTACGACTACAAGAGAAGCTTGGACAACCAGTGGACCACAAGTTCCATCTTTTTAAGGTATGCTTCTATTTTCTTTTGCTTATATAAATAGAAAAAAAACCTTCATATTTTGAAAAGTTTTTCTTTTAAACCCATCTTGTATAGCTAATTCAGCCTAGTGTGTAGTTTTTGAGGTAGTGGTGCCATGAAGACATTGTCCCTCTGAATCAGACTTCTCTCGTGTCTCAACAAAATGTTATTCCAGTCTTGAAATTTCTAGTATTGTAGTAAATGTAATCTTCAAATAAATGTTCAGATATACAGTGGGGGCATTAATAGAAAGATGTAGGTAAAGCGACAAAGAGAATTGGACCATAACAAATGTGAGATGTCTAGGTGTGTAAACAGTTTTAAGGTCTCACTCTCTGCAGTGCTAGAAATTTCTGAAAGAAAATTTTAATTGGGGGGAACATATAAAAGTAAGTTGGCTATCTGGAATGATGGAAGTCTGTGAGATGCATCCAAGTGAGATGCAGCAGAATGACATGACCAGTCCCCTCACACCATTAAGTGCCCTAAGACGAAGAATTACTACAGGGCTCCTAGGAGCCTCTGGTTCTTCGCTTTACAGCATCAAGTGCTGGCAGGAGGCTGGTTACATCATTTTCCATTACCCTGCTATGTACAGATTTCTCCTGGTTGGGACAGCTGTCTTTTAAAGTGAGTTTCATTTGCAATCATGGCAATAGTGCAAATATTCATTGAAAAGTCTGCTCCCTTAAATGATGTATTAATACAGGCAGGCCCTGAGTTACAAACATCCGACTTACAAATGACTTATAGTTAAAAACGGAGATTAGACAACAGGAAGTGAGAGGAACCTACCCCTACGAAGGGAAATTCACTCCTGAAAGAGTTTTCCTGGGGAAAAAGTGTCTCCACTGAAGCTTCATCACCAGTCCCAGTTTCTATAACAAGTCAAATGTTTCAAAATCCAATTATCACGGGCAGAAAGTCAGCTGAAGTCTTCAGAATGGGGGCACAGACAGCAAAACAAATATCACAGGGGTGTTAAGTCTTCCCTATGCTACGAAAAGCATGTGTCTGTCTTGTCTATCTGTCCATCTATCTATCTATGGCTGGAGTTACGCTTCCAAATATATTTGTTACGACTTAGAAACAAATTCAACTTAAGAACAAAAGTAAAGAACCTATCTTGTTCATAACTTGAGGACTGCCTGTACATGCTTTCCTACTGAGCTTCTCTTCTGGATGGGATGGAGTTGGAATTTTTTGCTTGATGGTAACTGCTTGTCGCCACTCTTTTCATGAATTGCACTACCCATTTCACATCACCAGATGGCACTCTTGATTTGCTAGTTAATCGCTGGTGATCTTATAATAGAGAATTCCAGTCCATGACTCCTAGGTCTTTAATTTTATTATTAGAGAGCACTACTCTTCTTTTTCTTTCCTACTGAAGGAAGACCCCTATTGGAAATTGACTAATGCTTACCAGTTCAGTTTATGAGAACATAAACTGCTGCTTGCTGTTAATTTCTTCACTGTATTATGTAACTACCTGGCTAAATAATTTACCATGGGCACAGGTTCTTAAAATCACAGATTTATGCTTCTTCCAAATTGGAATATATAGGCTGCACCTGCTCCTTGCTGTGAACCAGCGGAAAGCTGTGTGTGAAAAAGATTCCATACTAAACCAGTTGGTTTACCGAGGAGTTGGCAGTGATGAAGCGAAGGAAGAGGGAACTAGAGAGCGTGTGGCGTTCGGACCCAAGCGAGCCAAATCGAGCACGGTTTGTGTCCTTCTTAAGGGCATATGCCGCGGCAATAAAAGCCGCAAAGAAAAGTTTCTTTGCGGCCACTATTGCGTCTGCAAAAAACCGTCCGGCGGAGTTGTTCCGGATTGTCAGAGGTCTTTTAACTCCCGCCACCTCAGGCGGGAGCCCTGACAACTCGGTCACGCGCTGCGAAGCATTTGCTCGGTTTTTTGCAGACAAAGTCGCTTTGATCCGTTCTGGGCTGGACACCATGTTAAATGCAGTCTCTGAGGATGTGACACGAGCACCTGCTTGTCCTATTTTGATGGATTCTTTTCAGTTTGTGAAGCCCGAGGATGTGGACAAGATACTTGGAGGAATGAGGCCCACCACGTCCATCCTAGACCCCTGCCCATCCTGGCTTCTGAAGGAGGCCAGAGGGGGATTGGCTGAGTGGGTAACGGTGGTGGTCAGCGCCTCCCTTCGGGAAGGCAAGATTCCAGCGAGCCTAAAACAGGCTATTATAAAACCGCTGTTGAAGAAACCATCACTGGACCCCACTAAATTGGACAACTTTCGGCCTGTTTCCAATCTTCCCTTTTTGGGCAAAGTCATGGAAAGCGTGGTGGCCTCACAACTCCAGGTATTCTTGAGAGACACGGATATTCTGGATCCGGTACAGTCTGGTTTCAGACCGGGACATGGTACCGAGACGGTCTTGGTCGCCTTAGTGGATGATCTGCGCCGGGAGCTAGACAGGGGGAGTGTGTCTGTGTCCCTGTTGGTGCTCCTGGACCTCTCAGCGGCCTTCGATACCGTCGACCACGGTATCCTTCTGGGGCGCCTTGCGGAGATGGGTCTTGGGGGCACTGCTCTGCAGTGGCTCCAGTCATTTCTGGAGGGCCGTACCCAGAAGGTGTTATTGGGGGACTCCTGTTCAACACCACAGCCTTTGACCTGTGGGGTTCCACAGGGCTCTATACTGTCCCCCATGCTGTGTAATATCTACATGAAGCCGCTGGGTGAGATCATCCGGAGTTTCGGGGTGCGGTGTCATCTGTACGCAGATGATGTCCAACTCTGTCACTCCTTTCCACCTGCTACTAAGGAGGCTGTCGAGGTCCTGAACCAGGTGCCATCTTATCGACACTAACAGCACACACAAGTAGCGGTCATGAGAAAACCGGTCCTGACACAAACGCTGTAAATAGGTCAGAGCAATGAAGGGCACGAACAAACTGAAATTAAAAATCCCATGTTTTCTAAACAGGAATTGAAGTCAGACAAGACAGAGGTACTCCTGGTCAGTCGCAAGGCCGAACAGGGTATAGGGTTACAGCCTGTGCTGGACGGGGTCGCACTCCCCTTGAAGGCGCAGGTTCGCAGCTTGGGTGTGACCCTGGATTCATCATTGAGCCTGGATCCCCAGGTTTCAGCGGTGACCAGGGGAGCATTCGCACAGCTTAGGCTCGTGCGCCAGCTGCGCCCGTACCTTGGGAAGTCTGACTTGGCCATGGTGGTACACGCTCTGGTCACATCCCGCCTTGACTACTGCAACGCTCTCTACGTGGGGCTGCCCTTAAGACGGCCCGGAAGCTTCAGCTAGTCCAGCGCGCGGCAGCCATGTTACTAACAGGAGCGGGACACAGGGAGCATACTGTTGCTGTTCCAGCTCCACTGGCTGCCGATTTGCTACCGGGCCCAATTTAAGGTGCTGGTGTTATCCTACAAAGCCCTAAACGGTTCCGGCCCAAAATACCTTTCGGACCGCATCTTGGCCTATGAGCCCACGAGGACCTTGAGATCGTCTGGGGAGGCCCTTCTCTCGATCCCGCCTGCTTCACAGGCACGTCTGGCGGGGACGAGAGAAAGGGCCTTCTCGGTGGTGGCCCCCCGGCTGTGGAACGACCTCCCTGCTGACATCAGACAGGCGCCTTCCCTTCTGTCCTTCTGTAAGAGCCTGAAGACCTGGCTATTTGAGAAGGCATTCAACTGAGCGCTACGGCAACTGGTAATTGACAACTGGAACGGAATACGGATTACGATATTGGTTATGATTCTATGATGTGACGGAGCGGATTATTTAGTGTAACTAGATTATAGTGTATTATTGTTGTATTGATTTCCTGTTTTGCCCTTTTGTAAACTGTTTTTATATGTTGTGCACCGCCGCGAGTCGCCCTAGGGCTGAGAGCGGCGGTCAATAAATGCAGTAAATAAATAAATAAATAAATAATACTTTTGATTATTGGTTTAAAGGTCAAGATATTATTCTTTTTAAAGTATTCTCATTAAGCTGCTCACATGTGCTCATTTGGAATTAATAATAATAAAAAACAACAGAGAGGAAACAATCAGGGATAGCTAATCACCTCTCAACAAAAGATTCCCCCAGGGACTAGCAAGTCACACCAAAAAACTGCCAGGCCATCAAATGCTAATCAAGGTGGTCAGTTGAAACATTCACAACTAGCTCCAGCAGACAATTATTATTATTATTATTATTATTATTAACTTTATTTGTACCCCGCTAGCATCTCCCGAGGGACTCGATGCGGCTCACACAGGCCGAAGCCTCAAAACACAATACAGTAAAAAACATAACACAACAATAGCAAAGCAAATCAAACAATAAGCAATAACGACACCAACAATACATCAAACATTATTAAAACTGGCTCGGCCGGCGCGATGGGTACAGGAAATTAAAAGTGCTGAGGTGGTGGGGCACGTGGAATTAAAAGTGCAGTGTGCAGTGGCAATTAATTATGCTAAGGTACTATCAGAACTCAGGTGGGGATTCCTAGTCTGAAAAGGCACAGCGGAACAACCAAGTTTTTAAATTCCTTCTGAAAGCAGCAAGAGAAGGGGCCTGTCGGAGATCTTTTGGGAGGGTGTTCCAAAGTCGGGGGGCCGCCACAGAGAAGGCCCTGTCCCGTGTCCCCACCAAGCGCGCTTGCGATGTAGGTGGGATCACGAGCAGGGCCTCCCCAGATGACCGAAGCGAGCGCGTGGGTTCGTAGATGGTAATGCGGTCACGCAGGTAAGGTGGTCCCAAACCGTTTAGGGCTTTATAGGTGAGCACCTGTACCTTGAATTGGGCCTGGAAAATAAATGGCAGCCAGTGGAGCTCCTTAAACAGAGGGGTAGACCTCTCTTGATAATGAGCCCCCGTTAGCATCCTAGCTGCTGCCCGCTGGACCAACTGGAGTTTCCGGGCCGTCTTCAAGGGCAGCCCCACGTAGAGCGCATTGCAGTAGTCCATTCTAGAGGTGACCAAGGCATGGACCACCCCGG